TAGCCAAGATAAACGGTGACTCACTTCAGTACTTCCAGGTACGTAATGGCTCTAGATCGGGTTCCTCAATTGGTCCCTTAATTTCTCTGCAAACCGGTGCCAGAACTATAGATTTAGGTATTTCACAGCTCTCGATGCATTCAATCAGAGCGACTGTCGGGTTCAAAGATATTGGTTTAGGTATCAAGTTTTTCAATGGATTCTTCTCCAATTGGAGAAAAACCTATGACGGCTACTCAACCCTATAAACTATAATCTAAATTCTACAATACTGAGTCTTTATAGTCCATACAATATATGTCTTAGCCAGCTAAATAGCCTTATGTATATTCTTGCTTAACGCGGTAATGACTAGAACGTGACTCGCAAAGCTACGGGATATTTTGTCACGTAAAATTATATGCTGTTACAAAGCGTTTATGATTAAACATTTAAGAGATCAATCGATAGTTCCAAGGATATATATAGTATTGAAGAAGTATTGATACTTAGGAAGATGGGTATGTTTGTAATTAAATAGAAAATTAGGGCAAAAGGGTATGAAAAATGAGACCGATGATACTAACAGACGGAATTTATATAGCACCTCAAAAAAAAATGACATTGCAAGAGTTCTTCAGTGACCAGTGTAAGTAAAGATAATAGTAAGGGGGTCAATTGACATTGTATGAACAAGTATACTAACTAGAAATATTAGCTTTTGGAGGCTCTTGGGCAGATGATGAAATAGATATGGCATCTATATCAGTTCCCATAGAAAAGCACAAGCACTCGGTATATTCAAAAGATCCGTTTGGAAGCTCACATCCATCTGGTGGATTTGGTGGCCATTCGTATAATAGGCTGTCTGGGCTTCATGATAATGGGCCGCCATACATAGTGAAGTTATTGAATCTTCCGATTACGTCGAACGATGGGTTTATTGAAGACTTGTTTAAGAGTAGATACACAACATTTGTTAAGTTTAAGATAGTGGTGGATCCGTCGTCGAATATTTTAGAGACCCATGTTATTAAGAAAGTCGCATTTGTTGAGTTAGAATCGTTCCAGGAAATGAATAAGGTTTTAAAATGGCAAGATTTATATTACAAAGCGACCAGAAGGGTAGTGGTTGAATTGGCAGATTTCCATGATTTTCAGCACTGTATTAGCTTTAATCAAGAACACGAGCGGGAAATCCAGCAAATCCAGGATGATTTTGTTAAGCAAAAGCAAAGCCAACATTTTGGCCATGGCCCATTTGAGCATGGCCCATCACGCAATATTAATATAAACTCTCCTCCAAGGAAGTACCAGCCGTTAAATTCTCACGCCACTGCATCATTACAGCCAAGTTTATCCGACAGGAAATCATCAACACCGCAGGAAGGTTCCGGAGCACCTCCGCCGGCAGCACCTCCAAAGAATAAGCCAAATCCTTTCGGTGCAGCAAAGCCAGTAGACGTATTATCAAAACAACATGAGATTGACAAAAAGCTTATCACAATCAATCACACAACTATTAAGACTTTAGGTCCAATGGCTGATGATCTTGGTTTGGATCAACATGGTACGACAGAAACGCATACATCTTCAGAAGAGTCCCACGTTCCGCGTGAAAGGAGACCGTCACAGAAAAGTTCCAGGCGGCCTTCAGTTAATATTTTGAAGAGGCCTTCACCCTCTATAAATCAAAACGCCCCTAGTCCTGAATCTCATCAAGAGTCGAATGAAACAGAAAAGTCACAATTAATGAAAGCTCCTATTCCAGAATCCATATATGCTCCAAAGGATGATAATAAAAGTCTTGCAGAGCTATTAAGTAAAAATAAGAACCCTTCTTCTCCTAAAGGGAGAGGTACTCCTAAGTCAATTAAAAATTCACCAAAGCCAAATACTAATAAACCAGTAATATTAAAAAAGAAGACTCAAGCACCAACAGTGGACTTAACGGTCAAAGAAAGCGAATTTATTTTTGACTCAGAAAATTCTACTGCAAATAAGGATGTCGACAAAAAATCTAAGGATAAGGAAATAGACGATAAATTGAAGAAAATTAATGATTCTTTATCGCAAAGTAATCTACTGGAAAATATACATGAGTCTCGTGTGAATGGTTCAAGCAAATCTAAAGAAAGTGCTCCTGATGTGAAATCCTCGCATGAAGTAGAAGGCAAGATAAATGAACCGCAATCTGTCCCTACTCAAGAGGAAAATAAGAAAACAATCGAAGTCCATGCGCCCCCATCTCAAGAAGCTGAGAGGGCAAAGGATAGGCCAAACTTCAAGAAGCATTTTGCAGAATTAAGTAAAAGGCAGAATGCCCAGAGAGAAAAGATGCAAAATTCGCAGAATACTCGTTTTAACTCTCATTCACAAACCCTCAATAATAAAAAGAGCAATGACGTGAACCATAGACGTCAGAACCCAAAAGAATCAGGTTTACCTACCGACGTATCAAAAACCATCCCGCTTAGTACTCAAGATGCAAGTGATACGAAGAATATCGCGGTGAAGAGTAACAGTAATGGGGATATCAGTAAAGATGATCGGGTACCGGGGCCAAAGCTTTCCGGAAGAAATAAGAACAGATCCTCTGGAAGAACTAAATCGACAGATTTGCCAAAGAAAGATGTCAAAAAAATCGAGGAGGTTAAATCCAGAAGGCTACAAGCTAATCTGAAAGGTAACAACCCAGGCAAAAATGGTAAAAAGACCACAGAAACTAGAAATCCAGATCAAATTGAGTCTCTCAATGGTATTAAGGGTGTGAAAGAAGCAAATGATGTAAAAGACTTGAAAGATGTCAAAGATATTAAGCCTGAAGCATACATAAACGCTCTGGATGATGCTATAATGACTAACGAGAAGAGTAGTAAAACCCCAGAATTAGTTAGAAAGGAAATTATCACAGATCCTAGCAATGGGCTGACATCGTCTTCCACTGGTGGAAAACAGAATATTGCAGATGCCGTAAATACGAAAGAGACGGATGCGACAAAGACAGATGTGTCGGACAGGGTTTCTACTGCCTCCAATCGTGGTAGAGGTAGAGGAGGTAGAGGTAGGGGTAGAGGTAGTTTTAGGGGTTCTGTTAGAGGTTCGAGAGGAAACCGAGGAAGAGGAAACTTTAATCTTCATTATGTGAGAAGTAAAGATGATAAGAACGCCGAGAGTTGAGTTAAATAATTATTAATATTGCATATAAAGTATATAGATTATATCTAATATTAATTTAAAATATTACTTTGAAAGAACACTGTACAAAATTCACAAGAGCTACGTGTATTATTAATACTCCATGAAAACTATCCAATGTCAAAAATTTGACATATACTATAAGAGTCCACTATCTTTTAAACTATTTTCCAAAATTGTTTCTTTGATAGCTGCAAATACCAATTGAATATTCGAGGTATCTGTAGCTTGCGTTACATGCGGATAGATACTTAAACCTGATCTATTCACTTGATTGAACCTCCATAAGATATACTTCGCAGCTTTGTTAATGTTATTACCACCGGTATAATCAGAAAAGTGGTTTTCTAAAGGAGAATAGGGCAACTTCTCTGCAAACACATCAATTTTGTTCAAAAACAAGACAATTGAAGTTCTTGCAAACCACCTTGAATTAACGACGGAATCAAACAAAATTAGCGATTCTTCTAATCTATTTTGACTATTTTCTTCAAGTAGAACTTGGTCATATTCAGATAAAGCAACACAAAATATAATAGAAGTCACATTATCAAAGCAATGAATCCATTTCTTTCTTTCTGATCTTTGACCACCAACATCAAACATATGAATATTCAATCCACCGCTCATTTGAAATTTGAAATCAAAAATACCGGAAGTTTTCTTACGAGTTCTCAAAATATCATCGACTGATGGACAGTAGCCGACTTTGGAAATCCTTTCTAAATCATTTAAGAAGTAATTAGTAGAGTCAATTAAATAGAAATTTCCCTGTTGGTATTTGATAAATTTCTGAACCTCCGGGGTCTTATAAATGTGAATAATCTTGCCTGCAATATCTGGATTGAAAGTTTCATCAACATTAATGTTGACCTCATAATCCAAAACTTCGTTTAACATATCATAATCCAATACATGCTTACGATTTGCATCCTTTGTACCACCGTTGAATTGCTGTATGCGATCCTCCTGATTGCCCACTGCAACGGTGTTATTTCCTATGTTGTTATCTGCTTCAGTTTCATTCTGTTTATGGATTAAATCCGGCTCCAAATCGATTATTGCATTAATCACACTTTTGATACACTCCAAGACATTCTTATAAACAAACGGCTTATACTCGTATAATTCCTCTGTGCTATACCCATTTTGATGTAAAATTTTCATCTGTTTAACAATTGTTGACTTACCACTTTCCCCTGATCCCAACAACAACACTTTAACTTCCTTTTCAGAACCAGCCGAAGAAGAAATGGTATTTGAATTTTCATTTGCAGACTTTTCTGGGTACGTTGAAGAATGCAATTCGTTCGAAGAATCCGTCGATGTATTATGGTCTTTTGACGCGTTGATATTATTTTTATTTGAGGCCAATGATTGTTTTTGATCATGGCGCTTGTTATTGACTTTCGGTGCCTCTAATGGCTTGGTATTGTCCAGTTGCTTAGATGTACAAGATCCCATTTTGCACACGAATCACTTTATTCAGTATATGACTTAATCGCGATCGTGTAATTAGAATTATATGTAAGCTAACCTTGGGATAGTATGAGTCTACTGGAGACTGTTTTATGCTTCTGACTGCTTACCTAGATTAATTGCTAAATTATAAATCAATTGCACTAGTATGTTTCTTGGGAAATTAGTGTTTGTTGGTCATTAATATAACCGCTCTTGTTGTACTGCATACAATATTAAATGGCCAACTTACATTTGCTAGAATAAAGACAGCCAATGGTAAATACTGGAATTGTAATGTCTACGTGGAATTGGACTATACAAAGAAACAGACCGCTTTACAACGGTCACAGACATATCAATATTTAGCATGTGTAGGAAGAAAGAAAAGTAATGGAAAGTAAGACTGATGCCGCAAGTAAAATTAGTGGTAACTTTTGGCTGAAAAAAGATGCATCAGACAAGTAAACAACACTTGTCTCTGTAAAATTAGTTGTTGCGTTTACGGTGTTGATGTTCAATCGTTTTTCGTGTTTCAGGTCGTGAGATTGGTCTTTATTCTTCGGTAAGACCATTATAGCTTCGATAGAAGCTGTGTGGGTTCCAGTTGGATTTTGAACTAAAATTGTCGTTGAAAATTGTGTCATTTGATGATTTGTTGGTGAAGCTGTTATCTTCAAGGACCTCATAAGCTTGCAATCAATTGTCATGGCATTTGGTTTCTTTTTTTCATAGTATTCTTTAAAGTCTAAAGTAGTAGCGGCAGCATCCGATTTCTTCTGCAATCCATGAGTTACATTAACGCTATTATCGAGTATATGTGGTTCATAGGCTGCAAGAGTTTTAGAAGGATAATATCTTGGGGAGATACCACTTGCAAATATATCTGTTCCATACGATCCAGAAGCGTTAATACCCAAATTATTATCGTATTTAAAGTCATTATTTCCGTTAGTATTGGCTGAAATCTTCAGATAGTAACCATTTGTGGGAACACCTTTACAGGTTGTTAGAAGCTGGTGCTCAAAGTGCCAATAATTACTGCTTTTTTTACCCAATGACTTGCATTGTTGGTCAACCTCTTTCAAGAAGAAACAACGACAACTTTCAATTGACGAAAATCCTTGACATGAATGAAATTTCGGGTCATCCTTTTCTATTCTGTCCATACAATCATTGAAGTCTTTTCGTAAAGCATTTGCATGTAGGTCTGATAAAGGGTGTTTATTGTTAATTGCAATTGCTCTCCTCGTGAACAATAAGCCCAATGATAAAAAAAGGAATACAAATCGTGATCTTGTGAATTCTATTCTCATATTGAACTGTAATAAGAATAGGTAGTATCAGTAGTCTACTTGACAAGTATTTTCCATTGTAAATGTTGAAAATGCCATTTGGGCGCAAATTTGTTTCTGTGCGTACAATAATGTTCCACAAGAATATAATGCAAATATTTTTTTTCATAATGTATTTATTAATTTCTACATCTAAGTTCTCCTATGCTATTTAATATTAATCTTTTGGTCCATCTGGTGGTACTACTGAATCTGGAACCGAATCCATTGAAGGACCATTGTTGAGTTGTGCTATGTTCTGGGATGATGCATTCTTCGCATCTTGCAACCTTTTACGCTCTTTTCTTCTCCTCTTTTTAGTTTCAAATTCATGCCATTCACCTTTAACATCTTTCAAAAAATGCAAAGGTTCAGGTTTTGGATCCTCCGTGAAATATGGATGTTCTAAAGCTTCCCTAGCGGTTAACCTCTTCTTAGGATTCAATGTCAATAATTTGACAGCTAAATCAAAACTTTGCTCTGACATGATAGACTCATACTCAGTCTTAAAAGTGTTTGCTTTGTTTATCTTTGGTTTCAACATCTCAAACCAAGGCAAATTTTCCATATCAGGCCAATCTTCAATATTTGGAGTACCCATAACATTAAATATCTTATATAATTGGCCAATCTCGTCAAATCCCTGGAATGCAGCTATTTTTGAATACAACTCAATCAAAAGACAGCCAACGCCCCAAATATCCACTTCTCTACCATAATCAGTAGAACCCAAAAGCAATTCAGGTGGCCTGTACCAAATTGTAATAACTCTATTGGTATAATCTGGAATATCTCCATCATTAAGAACATTCATGGTTCTTGCCAAGCCAAAATCCGCTATTTTTAACCTTCCTATATTATCTAATAAGATGTTCGAACCTTTGATATCCCGATGGATAACTCTTTTCTTGTGTAAATAATGCAAGCCTTCCATTAATTGCTTGAAAATGAATTTCCTATGACTTTCTGTTAACTTTAAATCCGGGTGTGTTAATAAACCTGTCAAGTCGTGATCCATGTAATCAAATATCATATAAATTTGGTTGTGTTCTACCATCATCTCTAGTAATCCAACAACATTTTCATGGTCAAACGATTGTAAGAGCTTTATTTCTCTCATAGCCGTGATCGGGAAACCTTCTCTTTCAGATTCTAATCTTAATTTCTTCAAAGCAACATATTCATCCGTGATAGAATTGGTAGCTTTATACACTTTTCCGTATGTCCCTTCACCTACCTGTTGAACTCTTTTATAAATTTCAGATGGTCTCGTTATACGTATCAGATATATTTGTGATTTACTTAATTTAATAGGTGGTGCAGCCTCTTCGTCCTTTTTCAGATATGGTCTTGGTTTAACTCTGGAATCGTTCACATTCCCTGATCTTGGGCCCTTCGGTAAGTTTTTTAAGTTCACCTTTGGTTTATAACTGTTATTATCATACCTTGGATTCCTGTATGTGCTTGATTTATCCCTGTAACTTGATGGGCCAGGCGCTGGGCCATTGAAATCTGTTCTGTCCTGCCTTTTTCTGTAATCATCCCCTCCTCTATAGCCTTTCGATTCCGATGGGTGTGGTCTCTTCGAGCCAGGGCGGAAGTGAAAGTCTCTATCGTTACCTCTGTAACCAGATGGTCCAGAAGGTCTGAATTTTGATGGTTGATAAGATTCGCTTCTTTCATTTGCAGACGAATTAGGTCTGTAGTTATCTCGTTCTTGATACCTTTTAGGGCCTGATGGTGTGTAAGTATCTCTCTGTCCATAGGAAGATTTGTAGTTTCTGTTATTACTATTGGGGTTGTTGTTGCTACTTGTCTGATTGGGATTTCTTCGATCTTCATATCCTCTCGTAGATCTTGGGCCACTTGGTGGTCTATATCTATCTGACATTTTGGTCGCTAAGTAAGTTCTAGTGAATTGATAGCTAGTGAAGTTCAATCACCTTTTTGACTATCATTTAAGAAGGCGACAGAATTAAAAAAAATCCCCAATGGTGTTACCCGGATAAATTCCCCGGTACTTGTAACATCATCATCCCCCTTCTATCCCATCACCAAGTACTGGGACCAATATCATGACAATATCCGTTCATATTCTTGTCAGGATGAATCAAATATAACTATCCCAAGCAGCCTCTCTGAAAATCGGTTATTACTAACTCAAGGGTTTACGGAAATATGTAATAAGTAGAGTAAAAAGTCAAAAGAAATCTTCCCATACGAGCCATATAAACAAGTGTTAAATAATAAATCGTAGCTTAACACATGTTCATACCCCAAGTGTAGAAGGAGCAAAGTAAAAGTCAGTAAAAGAAAAAATGTAATTGTTGGACCTCAGCCGCCACCTGTGAACTATAAACAGGATACCCATTTCTCACCAGCATGTCATGGCGGTTTCATACATCTGGATGCACTTGTATCGCATTCCCATAGTATTTGGATGGATGATTTCACCTTATCAATAGTTCATCATTTTAGAACCATACCGTTATATATAACACTCTACATACACCTCAACAACTGTATCCATCGTTATTGTAGCATCCTTCCATTATCTTGTCAATTTAATCGCTTTAAATATATCTTAATATCGTGATAACTAGTTCAACAACCTTCTTTTTGGTATTTCCCTGAATATCAAACATTATGATGATAGGAAATTCAATCCTTCAATAAACAACTTTCTTATTTAATGATCGAACAAAAATTCGAGTATTGTGACATTGTCGGGTAACCTGCTTGGTTGCCAGCCAAAACATTGATAGTGTGCCATTTAGCATTTAACATAAGTCATATAAAGATATAACATTGTTATATAAGTTAGGATGGTATGTATTTGTATAGGTGAATATGGGCAAACAGTACGGTCTCTAATATCACCGTGCTAGATTATTAATATGCGTAAAACTAACGAAATTAGATTGGAAGAGTTGTTCATATCAGTGCTGATTTAGTATTATTGTCTGCTTTCTTAGCTGGGGTCAAAAGAAATACTGGTTTAACGTAAGTATATATATTATGACAGATTAGTATCAATGGGGGTGTAGATTAACATGAATATAGGCCAAATCTTGACTCCGCAACTAATAGTGAAGACGTTAAATATTACGCGGGCAAATATTTAGATTTGGGTGAAAGAATATTTGATTACTCGTCGACGTACTTTGGATCGTCAGATTATTTCAAGCGTAGATAGTCGCTTCTTTGGGGTCTTGATTATAATATTATTGGTGGTTAATACTTGGGCATTATTGAAATCTGTTACTTTTACTACGCGTGTATAGTATAATAATACACAGAAATTATTTATTCATTACGTATATTCGGTCTGTATTAATATTTAGTTAAAAAAGGGACAAAAACAGGATAAAATAAAGGTATTATGTAGTATAGGCGAGAACAAATACCCAAGTTAAATAAAAGTAGGGGTAAAGTAATAATCAAGAAAAAGCGGCGTGATAAATAGGTGCGATGAAGTAGATTACTCGACAGTAACTGACTTAGCCAAGTTACGAGGGAAATCGACATCAATACCTCTGTTAACAGCTAACCAATAACTCATCAATTGCAATGGGATGACGTTCAATAAACCTTGCAAACAGTCAACAGTCAATGGAACGTGCAAAGTAGCCAAAGCCCTACTTCCGCCAATGACATCATCACCTTCGTTACAAATGACAATTGGTCTACCGTCTCTAGCTGTGACTTGTTCAATAGCGGAAAGAACCTTTGGAAATAAGGAATCTCTAGTAGCAAAAGCAATAATTGGTAATTTACTGTCAACCAATGCTAAAACACCATGTTTCAATTCACCGGCTAACACACCTTCAGAATGCATGTAGGAAATTTCCTTTATCTTTAAGGCACCTTCCAAAGCTGTAGCATGTTGGTAACCTCTACCTAATAATAACATAGATTTTTGATCGTTCAAGCTAGTGTCACATAATTGCTTAATCTTATCTTCCAATTGCAAAACAGTCTTGATTTGTTCTGGGATTTTACGCAATCCTTGGATGATTTCTTTGTGACGGGCAGCCTTAGAAATGGAATCATTTGACAAGGATAAAGCGAACATGACCAAAGCAATGTATTGAGAGGTGTAGGCCTTGGTAGATGCAACACCAATTTCTGGTCCGGCATTAATATGAACACCACAGTGTGTTTGTCTTGACATACTTGAACCAACAGAGTTAACAATACCAACAGTCAATGCACCTCTTTCTAAACAGTATTGTAAAGCTAAGATAGAATCAGCCGTTTCACCAGATTGAGAAACAAAGACACAAGTGTCATCTCTGAAAACAGGAGACCTTCTATCCAAGAAGTCAGAAGCTAATTCAACCGCAACAGGAATTTCAGTTAATTCCTCAAAAATGGATCTAGTAGCTAAACATGAATGGTAGGAAGTACCACATGCAATCATAATGATTCTTCTACATCTTCTGATGGTAGGTAACCATGATTTCAAACCACCCAATAAGACATTTGGATTCTCGAAATCAATTCTACCTCTCATGGTGTTGGTAGTTGATTCAGGTTGTTCAAAAATTTCCTTTTGCATGAAATGCTTGTAAGGACCCTTCATAATTTCATTCAATTCCATTTCCAAGGTTTGAATTTGTCTGATAGTTGAATCACCGGCCAATTTTTTAGCTCTGTGAATATGTAATTCACCATCGTAGATGTGTGCAATATCGTCATCTTCTAAAAACAAGACCTTCTTAGTGTGTTGAACAACAGAAGCAGGATCAGAAGATAAGAAAAATTCAACTGGCATTGGCAAGTTGTCATCAGCTAAGAAAGCTCTGGATTGAGAAGTTCTCAAGTTAGATTCACCTTGAGCGACTGGCAAAAGACCCATATCTTGGGCAGTGGAGTTGCTCGAGATTGGAGCTTGATCTGGGTTGGATTCAGGGAATTCGACATCAACGAAATCAACCTTTAACTTTTTGTCTGTCTTGACACCAACTAACAATGGAGAACCTTTTCTAGTACCACAAACTTCACCAGGATAATGAGTCGATTTAACTAATAAACCATAAGAACCCTCTAACTCGTATAAGACTTGTTTAGTTAATTCATTCAAATCTAAAGCGTATCCGGCTTTCATATTGGAGTCGTAAACGTGTTTAAACAACTTAGCAATACATTCAGAATCGGTTTCGGATTCGAATTTCATGCCTTTGGATAATAATAAAGTTTTAATAGCCCTGTAGTTGGTGATAATACCGTTGTGCACAATGACGAACTCAGACTTAGGGTCAGATCTGTGAGGATGACAGTTGGTGGTCATTGGTTGACCATGGGTAGCCCATCTGGTGTGGGCGATACCAACGTGGTTTTCAAACACAGTACTACGGTCGACCTTTTGTCTAACAATTTCTTCCTTTAAGGCTAAAACCTTACCGGTTTGCTTGACGATGATGACATCGTCTTGATTGTTGCCATCAATAGCCATACCACTCGAATCATACCCTCTGTATTCTAATCTTTGAAGCCCTTCAATGAGATTGTCCATAATCTCTCCCCTGGACTTGTCTACTAAAAAGTTGACATAACCAAAAATACCACTAGAAGCCTGTTAGTATACATTTTTCATTAAAGCCAGTTCGAATCGAAAAGAACAGATCACTACGTACCACATATTTATCTAATTTCTGTAATATAATATTCCGTAATATATGTATTTTCAAACCAATATATTCTTCACGATTGGTTTATTTCCTATTTATATATCAAGAAAGTTTTTCTTCTTTAATATGGTCAAATGTTCCAATTCCACTTATCTGTTCATCAATAATGGCGTTTTGTGGACTTATATAGAATTATTTTGGTTAATTTTTTTTTGGTAAACAAAGCATAACCCCTGTCTACTCGGGATAAGTCAAACATACCAGTTTTCTTCCCCCTGTCCCAGACCACAATGTCTAGTTTCTGGCTGTCGGTGAATGCCACAACGGCTGTGACCCGCTCGTCATTACAATGAGGTTTACCCGAACTACGAATAGATTATTTAGTAGGCGTATTCAGCTTAATGAAAAGCCCTAATGGGCAACACTGTAATGTATGTTCGCCTTAAGAGAGGCTCCTTCCATCCTTCGCCTTCCTTTTAGAAGAGGTGTAAAGGGTGTATTGGGTCTGCGCTGTGTTATCAGGATTTATTCGTTATTACACTTCCTATTTAGTACTAATATAAACAAACCGATGGCCATCCTTTCTATTAAAAGAATCGATAGAAAGCCATGATGTCACCCAATCGAGAGCCTCATTGGACCAGTATAGTAAAAAGGATTGTACGAGTATCACTTAAAAATGAAATACGCAAGCCGACTCAAAATGAAAAAGAACAGCATAGCATTATTTTGGCCGTAAATGGTATATGGCCAATTGAAAAAAGAGTACGCAGCAATTTAGCCCGATTAGATTTCAGGCCCAATTTGCAGGTACAGTGTCTAGACCGGACTTTTTTCTATAAATAAGGTCTAATCACGCGGTAGGCTTACGTGGGGTTCGTATCGCGGTACGTGCTGAAATATGCTTAAATGGAGGCTTTTTATAATAGTATATGTGAGAATAGGACATATTTAGCATTAGGAATAGTTCAGATGATCTGATAAAGGTAAGAACGATTTAGGCGATAATAGTCAAGAGTATTGGAAGAAGGCAAATGATTAGTAGATTGATTCAGAGGCGGTGCCTCTGTGCATGGAGCCCAGTAATGGTGCAGAGGGTGACCCGGGGTCCATTATTGAGCGACACTCTTTGCAAACGGTATTTTTCCAATGGGAAAGACAAGAAGATCAATATGAGCACCAAGAAACAGAAACCTTCGATCAAGCATTTAAGACGGTCGAGCCCAAATCTGCAGCGGGAGACAGCGCAGTATATATTGTCGTTGTTGAATAAAAACAACGAGCCAAAAAGCATTGAGGTTTTGGAGAAATATCTATCTCCGGTGACATCGGTGACGATTGGAGAAACAATTGATTTCGAAGTGGTTTTGAATGAACTTAATAGGCTCGATTCTGATGGGAATAGACGAAACGAATACTCGGTGTTGATGCCAGAAGAGGTGATCAACGTCAAATACAATGGAAAAGACTTAATGATATTGTCAAACGGAACAATAGTTGGATGGGGATTGGCCGAGTCAGTTATAGTGAAACAAATCATGCCGATGCTTCTTCCAGCTATATGTGATAAATGTGAACCCGAGAGTGAAGAAATCGATTGGGTGGAGCTCGATTATCTTCCTGATAACTCGCCTAATAATGGCAATTCGTATATGCAAGGAGATATCATGGTGATACAGGGCACTAATAAAGACAAGATCTTGTTGGATAAAGCGGCCTTTGCAATAGGGTTATCTCGGTCCACGCGATTATCTGTGTTAGAAAATGCGTTGGAAAATCACATTCAGCTAACTAGAGTCAACTCAGAATATTTATCGGAGGGGAAACAAATAAAAACGACAGAATCTGATGTCCTAAAACTAACTGGGAGATTGTTCTTATTGAGAGGTAAGTTGAACTTATATTCCGAATTAATTGAAACCCCGGATTTGTACTGGACAGAACCTACCTTAGAGAGAATTTACGAGTTGATTTCACGTAATCTAGACATCTCCCCAAGAATTTCTATTTTAAATAGAAAATTAGATTATGCTACAGAAGAGCAAAGTGCGTTGTTAGCTGTGTTAAATGAGAAGAAAAGTACCAGGTTAGAGTGGATCATCATTATTCTTATTATGGTCGAAGTTGGATTTGAAACCTTCCACTTTTACGAAAGATACTCAGATAAACTTAACGATAAAAATAATGATAAACCGAATGAGTGAAGCATGTAAATAGTTTTCTTTTTTTTTTTCTTTTGAGTGAATTTTACCTTCTTGTAAATATGTTTTCAACTTTTCTTGTAAGTTCGTTAATAGGTAATAAGAAATCCATTGGCATTCAATTACAGTAATTTTTTCAATTAGCTTAGCTTATTCAAAGGTATATTAGGTAATTACCATATAGGTAATTGAATCGTAAAATTTGATGCATAGACAATTAATCTTGCATTTTTTGAAACGAGTCATATTGATTCTTTTTTTTCTTCCGGCATTTTTAGAAATTAGATGAAATCTACTTCTTCAAACTACTTATCCTTAGCTTGAGTATTAATTGGAACGTCTAGTAGTATATGATAGTGCTCATCTTAATAAATTGTAGTTAATCCTCATCTTGATAAAATATTAAAAAAAGAATAAAAATTGCGAAAAATATGAATTTTTGTTGCAACCTTTCATAACCTATTTAAGTAATTTATAAACTTAAATCGATATAAAATTGTTCTAGTTTAAAAAAGACTACACATTTGTAGCTAAGGTATTGAAAGATGTGTTTCATAAGCCTCCGACTACTTTAAGAATATGTATATATAGGTAATGTATCGTCTTGGGGATTGTATCAAATCTCAATATTTTGCACCAACTAAATTCTTTCGCTCATAAATATGAAAATAAGCCTTATTACACTATTATTATCCTTCGTTTTACTCGAAACAGCTGCTGCTATAACAGTTACTAATATCTGGCAGTCGTTGAAAATAACTAATCCTTCAACATTGAGCAGACCCCAAGATATAAGGACTGCAACTGTCGGATGGAAGATTGTTACTGCTGATGTTTTACCCAATGACATTTTTTTCTTCCTGATGCCTTACGTTTTCAGAACCAAGTTTAGTGACAACGAAATATTATTAAAAGCAGGCGATACTATCTATGCTCGCTGTAAGGTAAATGATGGTTCATTTAATAGCGATACTTCATACCTCAAGTGTTCGATGACAAGTTCTGTGGATGATAAAAAGGATACGACCGTAGTAGGAGAAATAAAATTTGATTTTGTATTCAATGCTGGCGGTTCCTCTTCTGATTCAGACATTTCGTCCGCTAAAAGGTTTACTTCAGGCGACAATCAAGTTCGCTTCAATAATATTAAATCGGACGTTAAGTTTCAATCAGGTCCCTTTTTCACAGACAAAAAGACTGATGAATTATTATACTACTCAAGATCAACTCCACAAGATTTAGAACAAGTCTTTGTATTAAGTGGCACCTGTAATAAAGGTATAACTTCCGGTTCTATGGTTTTTACAACCAATAACTCGGTTGATTGTTCACAATTCAAGTTGAAGATTACAAATGACTTGAATGATTTCTACTTGCCTAAGAGCTACAAATCAGTCAACGTGGGATCAATTAGATGTTCTACTGATAACAAAAAACTTACTGCCACATTTAATAATATTCCACTGGGATATAGAGTATTCCTTGAAGGATTTGAAAGGTATCCGGATAACTCCACTTATGTTAAACATTTATATGCTGAAAACATAAAATGTAATGATGGATCTTCTAAGGTGGATGGAATCACTAAAATAATAAGGGTGGTAGACGGTGTATCTTCTTCAAGTGGAGATACTGAAATATCGAGCTCGATTGCCTTATCTTCAAGTTTAGAAATGACGAGTACTTATGAAACGAGTAGTCCATGCAATGAATGCGCTACGACACCCATAACTGAGACGGAAACTACGTTGAATACAAATACAGTAACTGAAACAGTTTGTACGGAATGTGCTCATGAAACCAGTGAATTATCGACCAGGGAATCGTCTACAAGTGAATCGTCTACAAGTGAATCAACTAGCGAATCAACTAGTGAAGTTGTATCTTCAACTAGCAAATCTTCAAAGACAAGCAGTAAATCTGTATCTTCGACTACCGAATTAGAAACTAGTAGTGAAATCCCCTGTGAAAGCTGCTCACACTCATCCATTTTGTCCACATCAATCCCTTCTTCAGTTAGTCATACCACGGAAACGTATACCGAACCGCTGTCAGATACAGAGGAAACCACTCTTTGTACTGAATGTATGTTATCATCGACAATTCAAACTCAGACAGAGACGACTACGTCTATCAATAGCACCACAGAAACGATTTCTTGTCACGACTGTTCAATTTCGTTGATATCGTCGACGACTGTTCCTCCCGTTGTGGAAACAACCGAAAACTCTGCCAATGGTACCACCGAAACACATTCCTGTTACGATTGTGTAAGTTCGTCGATAATGTCCACTTCCATTCCACCAGCCATTGGAACTACAGAGACCTCATCGTATGAAGAATCAAGCATTTACAGCGAGAATGTCTCTTGTACTGAATGCCAGTACTCTACTATCAATGTTTCCAGTGATAGCATCGATTCTCACACGTCAGAATTTGTTCTGTCAACCATCGATATAGCAAATGGCACTACAACATATGCTGAACCTCTGGCAACTGGTGAATGCGTTCTGTGCGAATACCCGCCAATTACCGACGCACAAACGATAACCGAGAGTATTTCTTGCGACGAAAATTGTACCACTACTTTCCCTACCTATGTTCCTGAATCATTTTCAGAATCGATTCAAAAAGAACATTCGGACATCTTGCCCACATCGTCTACCGTTGACTCCTCCATTAATACTAATTCTCAACCTCAGTCCGATATTGCTGATACATCCATCTCTTCGCATGCTATTATTACCGGGACCGCAGCTCTCCCGCCTTCAAATTCCGCGGGATACCCATCTTCATCCCAATACATTCCCCCATACGCATTCTCGTCGTATGAAGCGTTATCCGATTCGAACAGGTGTTCCTGGAGCGTGTTATTGTTCTCGATTCTCGCGTTATTAGTCTAGCTAGCTACTTATGTCACGTATTTCCTAAATTTAGTCATCTTGTAAGCAATTTCGCAGCCATATTTTTCTTGTCCTCGGAAAATATAGGAACGGACGAGTCGTGTTCTCTTACCGTAATTAATTGATCCGCCATCACTCGCACCAGCCAATAATATTCGAATACGCACTTATCAGTGCGGCTTGTCCTAGCGAACTTACGTCAATCTCTGGATAGATAGCAACATGATAATCTAAAATCAGTGTATTTAGCAAAGATAATTAGCGGAACTGGTTTCTAGCGGTTCACATTATATATGGATCGAGTTAAATGAAAAAGAAGCAAAAACCGGGGAAAAAATCTGTATCAGAAGCAAAATTGATGTGATTTGTTAAATTCACTGATAACGAATATCGAGGCGCTTCGTTCATAACTATGAGTTTTGTGTAACATTACTATCTAAACGGTGCAATAATGACATACGCAAAATTTTCTTTTTTTCAATAGGGCAGGGCAATGAAATGAATAAATATATACGTATTTCGAAGATTATTTTCGACAGGTAATTCTTTAGTTATAGTAGTATTAAATTTTAAATTTCCAAAAAGTTACTTGCATACTTTTATATTTAGACAATTGATTTTTAATTAATTAGTGGGACCTAGTAATACAGCTGCGAAAATATTAACCTATGACAATTTCATCTGTAACAACAGGCATATTAAATCGAAGAAAGCTATTCACAGCAAATGAAGACTATAAGGAAAGTGACATATTATTATTCTCGATCGCTTCGTCGATAATCTGGATAATGATACCGGGTTTAGCATTTTTATATTCTGGGTTGGCCAGACGGAAAAGTGCGTTGTCGATGATATGGATAGTTTTGATGAGTTCGTTCATTGGAAGCTTCCAATGGTACTTTTGGGGATACTCTTTAGCCTTCTCTGACAAATCTGCAAACAATTTTATTGGGGACTTGCATTTCTTTGGCTTCAGAAATCTATTGGGTAGTGTTGAAGGCACGCCTGACTATCCTGAAATTGCCTATGCGTTATTTCAAATGCAATTTTTGTTGGTCACCTTGGCTATTTTAGCAGGTGGGTGTATTGGAGAAAGAGGGAGATTTTTGCCAACGGCGATCTTTTTGTTTTGCTGGGCGACAGTGGTTTACTGTCCGGTGGTTTACTGGATTTGGGGAGGTGGATGGGCCTCACAATGGCAAGGGGGTGCTTTGGATTACGCGGGTGGTGGCCCAGTAGAAATACTATCGGGTGTATCAGCGTTTGTATTCAGTGCATTCTTAGGTAGAAGAAACGAGACCTTGATGATTAATTATCGTCCACACAACATTTCCACCATTTGTATGGGAACATCATTACTTTACGTCGGATGGTTATTTTTCAACGGGTTCTCTTGTGGAAATGCATCAATCAAGGTTCCATACTCGATGTTCAATACCCATTTATGTGGTGCATTCGGGGCCATCACATGGTGTTTGCTTGATTTCAGATTGGAAAATAAATGGTCCATGGTTGCGGTCTGTTCGGGTTGTATCTCAGGATTAGTGGCTGCCACTCCTTCATCAGGTATGATCCCATTATGGGCCTCAGTGATTCTTGGAATTGTATCTGGTATCGTGTGTAATTTTTCCACCAAAATCAAATACCTCTGCAGAGTCGACGATTCCCTAGATGTTTTAGCGGAGCACGGTATCGCCGGTATTGTGGGATTGATTTTCAATGCATTATTTGGAAGTTCCACTGTTATCGGCTACGACGGAGTAACTGAGCACGCCGGTGGTTGGATTGATCACAATTACAAACAATTGTACATTCAAATCGTCTATATCTTGGCCACCGCAGCTTATGCCGGTGGTGTCACGACCGTGCTATGCTTCGTCATCAACAAAATCCCCGGCTTGCACTTGAGAATAGATTACAATGCCGAAGAAATTGGTATGGACGAAGACCAAATCGGTGAGTTTGCCTATGATTATGTCGAAGTCAGAAGAGATTTCTTAGACTGGGGCAATCCTAACATCAATCCAAATGCACAAATGTCTTGTCCATCCGAGGAAGTTATGGAGGGAATTCCTCCGAATCCCCAGGTTTTCCAGGCTGTTGGAAGTTCTTCAGTATCGACTGCTCATCAGGATGACTCGAGCATTCAAGAAAAACTCGACTCCCAGAATCATGACTCTCAAGTTCCAGAATCCCAAAATTATACTACTGCTAGCGATACTAAGGAAGATGTTATCGAAGAGTAGATTACTGCATCTTTATTTCAATACGTTCATATACATTTCTGTCATTTCATTTAGTTCGTAAAATATATAAATATTCAATATAAACTTTTAAATTGTTGCAATAGTCTCCTGTATATGATTATATAAAAGAAATGGAGATTCCTCCGCTTCCGCTCGAGCGCAAAAAACATTTTCGCTGAAAAATGGTCAACTGACTCATTGAAAAATCAAAGAATCGACTCCATTTAATTCGTCTTTTTCGCTTGTTATAGCTATAGGTTGTTTTTTTAGAAAATTAAACTAATAGGCTTTTAAGACACAATTATCAGAAAATGATTGCTCGTAATATAAAGGCCACATCTTGCCAAAGAGCCTTTAGAATGGCTAGTAGCCAAATTAGATCTATGAATAAGACTAGCTTTCTGAAAGCAACTATGAGTGCTAGTTCAAGACCTACCCCGGCCCCTTCATTCGATCAACAAGATCCAAATAGCGGAGCCACCGACTTAAAGAAAAGTGTTGTGAAGAAGAATCAATATCCAATCATGGATGACTCATTTATTGGGTTAACTGGTGGTGAGATCTTCCACGAAATGATGTTGAGACATAAAGTTGATACCGTTTTTGGGTATGCTGGAGGTGCCATTTTGCCTGTTTTCGACGCTATCTACAACTCAGATAAATTCAACTTTGTTTTACCAAGACACGAACAAGGTGCTGGACACATGGCTGAAGGTTATGCTAGAGCATGCGGGAAGCCAGGTGTTGTGTTAGTTACTTCAGGACCAGGTGCCACGAATGTTATTACTCCAATGACCGATGCCTTGGCTGATGGTATTCCATTGGTTGTCTTCACTGGTCAGGTTCCAACTACTGCAATTGGTACCGATTCATTCCAAGAAGCTGATGTTATTGGTATTTCCAGATCTTGTACCAAATGGAATGTCATGGTTAAGAATATTGCTGAATTACCAAGACGTATAAATGAAGCTTTTGAAATTGCTACTTCCGGAAGACCAGGTCCAGTCTTGGTTGATTTACCAAAGGATGTTACTGCAGGTATCTTAAGAGAATCCATCCCAATAAATACGACCTTACCATCAAATGCTTTAACTCAAATCACCAAGAAGGTTGCTACTGAATTCACCATGGAAAGTATCAGAAGATCCGCACAACTCTTGAATATCGCTAAGAAACCAATTCTTTACGTTGGTAATGGTATTTTAAACCACGAACAAGGTCCAGCATTATTAAAAGAGTTAGCCGACAAAGCATGTATTCCTGTCACAACTACTATCCAAGGTTTAGGTGCTTTTGATCAAAGAGATCCAAAATCTTTGGATATGTTAGGAATGCATGGTAACGCTGCTGCAAACACTGCCATGCAAAATGCCGATTTAATTATTGCCTTAGGTGCAAGATTTGACGATAGAGTTACTGGTAATATTAGCAAATTTGCTCCTGTTGCTAAATTAGCTGCTTCTGAAAACAGAGGTGGTATCATTCATTTTGAAATTTCTCCAAAGAACATAAATAAGGTTGTCGAAGCAACTGAGGCAGTTGAAGGTGATGTTACCAACAACTTGAGCAAGTTTATACCATTAGTGGATGCTGTTAAAGAAAGACCCGAATGGATGGGTGAAGTCCAAGCATGGAAAGAAAAGTACCCATATGCTTACCAATTGGAAACCCCAGGTTCATTAATCAAGCCGCAAACTCTTATCAAAGAAATCTCAAATCAATCTTCTACATATGGCAAGGAAGTTTACGTTACAACCGGTGTCGGTCAACATCAAATGTGGGCTGCTCAACATTTCACATGGACTAAGCCAAGAACTATGATCACATCCGGTGGTTTAGGTACTATGGGTTACGGTTTACCAGCCGCTATTGGTGCCCAAGTTGCCAAGCCAGATGCAATAGTTATAGATATTGATGGTGATGCTTCATTCAATATGACTTTGACTGAATTATCTTCGGCAGTTCAAGCCAACGCACCAATTAAGGTTTGTGTCTTAAATAACGAAGAACAGGGTATGGTTACGCAATGGCAATCATTATTCTACGAACACAGATATTCTCACACCCATCAATCCAATCCAAACTTCATGAAATTAGCTGAAGCCATGGGTGTTAAGGGTATTAAGATTTCTACACAAGAAGAATTAGTTAGTGGTGTTAAGGAATTCTTAGACTATGCAGGCCCTGTCTTATTAGAAGTTATTGTCGAAAAGAAGGTTCCTGTTTTACCAATGGTTCCAGGTGGTAATGCATTAGATGACTTCATTATTTTCGATGCTGAAGTTGAAAGAAAAGAAAATGAATTAAGAAATCAAAGAACCGGTGGTAAACATTGATTTATAATATAGACATTTATGCTTAGTTCATTGATTTCAATTCAGTTCATTCAAACATATTCAATATTTATATTTATGCTTAGGGCTATTTGATTGTAGTTATCGACAACATCAGATATACACTTGGCATTTAAGAGGTTATTTTAAAACAGAGTATTAAAACTAGTTATATTTGTAGATATGCAATATACAAAATTCATTATAACTTTCACCATGTAGATGTATATATTGGCTTGAAATAACTTGGCCTTACTTCCTTGGAATTAAGAAAATAAAACGCGAAAAAAAATAAACCCGACGCGGGGATCGAACCCGCAACCTTTTGATTGCTTCTCTAGTTAAGAGTCAAACGCTCTACCGATTGAGCTAGCCAGGCTTCTTATATGTTCAGTAATTTGTTTGGCAAGACTATATGAGATATACTGAGAATCATTCTTGCTGCTTTTATCTCCCGTTTCTGTAATCCATGTGCCACTAAGTTTCGATTTTTCTAAATATTTTCCATACATGAAGAATAAAAGTTTAAAGCAGCTTCAATTAATAGCCAAGAACATGGTTTGAGTCATAGCATACATTTGATACAAGAGTTCGAGCAAGTCGAGCTAAACAGATATTGCGGGGTTCGAAATCACAGGACATTAGACTTAGAATTCACAAAGTTAACAGCGAAAATGAAACCTTCGGGTGTTATCGTATCATGTAACCCTTTTTGCCGAATACCCTATTCAAATAATCCTATCGATACCATATAGGCATTAATTCACAGTAGGGTATTGTATTGTAGACTACATTTAGGAGTAATATAAAGTAATTTGAGCAAGTATAGAAGAGTCTTTCATCGGTATCAATATAATTCAACTAGAATCTTATAGTAAAGCCGTCTACAAGTGAGGTCGTAAAATACAACATTAAACTGTAAAAGGTAACGGCTGGAAGTGTTGCGAGAACAAGCGCCTTATACTGAGAATTCTGAGTTTGTGACCGAGATGTCCTTTTCGCCGAGGTGATTTCTACCCCAGGATAAAATCTCTTCCTGTGGACCGATCTTTTAGTCTGTTATGCATTTTATATATATTTATTTGTTTGAAGGAAGCGAATAATAAAGTGCTATTTGATGTCTAGCTAGATAATGTCACTTTCAAAGTCTGAAGAATCAGATACACAGAAGCCTAAAACAAAGAAGGAGAAGGAAGAGGCCAACTTGAAATTAATAAAAACTACGTCCGGTATTAGAGTATCGCAAGCGTGTGATAGATGTAGAATCAAGAAGATTAAATGTGACGGGCTAACACCATGTCTTAATTGTTCAAAGATAGGGTTTGATTGTAAGACAAGTGATAAATTAACGAGGAGAGCATTTCCAAAAGGTTATACTGAAAACTTGGAGAAAAAATTACGAGAGTTAGAAGAGCAAAACAGACTATTAAGACTCAAATACGGAGAAGCAGAGGAAGATGATGATACGAGTGAAAAACATAAGGAAACTAATGCTGGGACATTTATGCACAGGCAAGTGGAAACTAACAGTACTAAAGCAAGAAATGAAAATGAGGGCACAAGCATGAAAAATCAGAATAACCCAATTCAAATTAATAACCCGATCGATCAAATATTCAATTTGGATGATAAAGGTATCATTATTGGTAACGATAATTTGAATTTCGAGTCACAGTTCAATCATTTATTGATAAACTTGAATTTGCCATTCTTAAAAATTACTAATTCCCATAACTTCTTATTAAATGATCCCAATTCCTATTTATATCATCCATCTTATGCCATGCATAATCAGTTTCAAAATAGAGATCTTGATGTTCCATATAATCCATTGACGGCCAATGATTCTCAACATGATGGAATCCCGGGAGAAATGTCTAATTTAACAAATAGCCAATTGCCCATGGATATTTATGACTTATTTATTAAGTTGATTAATAATTTCAAGAAAATAATAAGCAGCAAGAAAGAGCTTGATAACCAGATCTTACATTTTTTTCTTAACTACAATGTTTTTATACCAATTTTTGATATAAAGCAGTTCATGAAATCCTATGACGAATTCCACACCATGTATCCATTTATGTTTACATATGATGATGCAACAATTAATGGCTTCAATATTCTGAATAATGATTATCATGTTGTTAGTGAATACTTAATGATTGTTGTTCAAATTTACGCCATGTTAATGATGAATGATCCTACGATTAATTTAAACCTATTGTTGAATCATATTGAACCTAGTTTCTCCAACAGCAATAACTTAAAGGAAGACAGAAAGTCCAACGTATCAATGATAAGATCATTGTATGATTTCTTACCTTATTTTAATGTATTTCATGTTTCAATTCCTCAATTACAAACTTACTTATTATTTTTGTACTATTCTTTATTGACAAATAACAAAGAGAAATCCCTAGTACTATCATCTTTAGTTAACTCATTCATTGGTATTTTGGGGATAAATTTAAATTCTAAGAATTTATTTTTTAATGACTTGACATTAAATTTGCAACAAAAGAGAAACAGAGTAAAAATGTTTTGGGTTTTCAAAGTATTATTAAAATGTTTCAACCTAAAGTTTGGATTTAAACCTAGTTTGAATACTACTGTTATCAACCCTGTAACGATTGAGAGGTATTTTGAATTGACTCCAGAAAAACTAAGTCTGTTGCTAGAAACGAAGGAGGAAGGTATAGATGACTTATTTGAAGTGTTGCTTAAACCTAGTACTGAGTTTTTAAATTTGGTGAATATTATTATACCTTCATCTTTTTCGCCTAATTATTATCAATATTTAAAAAATGGTAGTAATCAAAATCATCACCAGTCACTGAAGAAGAATCCCAAACATTTAGATTGGATCTTAAATGATGACGATGGTGACGGAAATGATGGAAATTTGAATTATAATTTCACTCAATTTTTGACTATTGATAAGAATTTATCAAATTGGAGATATTCATTGAAAGATAAGAGGATAGATTTAACCCCATTACACCAATATTTAAAATTACCTATAATATCCGATGTAACAACCAACAATCTATATCAAAAATTATCGGTATCTAATATTAAAAGTTCTTCCGGAATAACACAGGAGGGTATAATGAATTATTTGAATACAGGTTTACCAGATATTTATACCGCATCACAATTAATTAAGATTCAATTGAACTTCCATTATTTATTGATTCGCTCCATGAATTATTTAAATTTTGTTATCGATAAAGAATTAACAAATACTTATTATATGAAGATCGCAAATATTTCATCCGAAGTTTTGGCATACTTCATATTGGTATTTGAACACATTGGGCAATCAATGGAAACATGGGAAAATAGCGCTGGCGAGGTTAAAACCAAAAGTGGAAATAATATAATTATGGATGGTTTAGGATTAGATGTCGATGATGATGGCTTTGTTATCAATGATTTTTCGGTGAAGAGAAGAAGGACTAGTTCACAGTTCCCATTTGATCAACGGGATAGGAAAGTTAAGCAGGTTCCACCATCCTTGTTCAATTATATGTTAAATGGGTTGTCAATGACTATAATTAATTTGAAAAAGTCTATTATTTTACAGATGTTATATTTATTGATTTGCCAACTTAAAATTGCTAAGAAGAAAGGTGTCATAGAGCCCGAAATAATAAGCTTGTTGAACAAGAGTATTCAATTGTTCGTTAAAATATTTATAAATTATGAAACTAACAATAGGCATAAGCCAGTTAAGAAGAACAAAGAAGATGAGCTATTCTTAAAGTTAATTAACGACGAGCTTAAGGAGGAAATTTTGACAGAACCAAGAAACAACGACGAGAGCGATGATGAAGATATGGATGAAGATGCTGCAAATCATAATGGATTGGACATCGACTGGGATGACGAGGATATGGATGAAGACTTGAAGTACTTGAAAATATTGAAATTTATTAAGTATAAGGTTCAAGTTCTTGCATCGAATAATAATCAACCGAACGTTGAAGTTCCAAACACAGAGAATACTGTCCACCGCCAAAGTTTGCCGTCATTGATGGAGACTATAGACAGTTCAGGAAGTAAGAACAATACTGTATCTGGTTCGGAGGCCTCTACAATAGAAAATGCCGCAAGACCTAAATCAATAAACAAGCTATCTAGTGGGAATAACTTTTACACATCAGCATCATCTACTAACTCGAATTCGTCCTATAACACGCCCGGAATGCAAAAAATTCCGTCCATGTCCAAGTTTGATTTCCTTTTAGGTGAAGATACTTTCCCTATACACACCGCTACCAGCCCGCCTTATACCATCAACTCGCATAATCCTTCGATGACAGGACTAAAGGACGCTCATCAACTGAGTGATCTTGTGAAAAAAGAAAGACTAGCAGTTAACGATCTAATGAACATGAAGCATGCGCATAAGAATACTAAGCAATCCACTTCTCCCTCTTGGCAGTACAATCCGAATTCTGCAAGTCCTACAAATCAGCATGTCGCGTCGTCTGGTACAGTTGATAACAACAACAACTAATCTGTCTCTGTATAATAGTATTTAAATATGGAAATATATGTATCTATTAGGACACCGTTTGACCATTTTTGCAATCACAGAACAAAAAGTGCAAAATTGCTTACGTAAAAATAGTGGCTATGATTATATATCAAAGACTTTCTCAGCCTCTCCTACAATTTGTTATCGCTGAATACCAAGAGAGATCTTTAGCTTACTAACGTGAGATGCGTAAATATCATAACGTTCATAACCTAATAATTGCCTCTGGATAACCAGTCCACGGTATATTATATCACGCATGGCTAAGCAAACTTAGCTTAGAGATACCAAGCCTTACAAATCTGATGCTGTCAATGATCGAAAATCACCCTATATTATGATACAGTCCCCGCATTCTACAGATTCACGAAACAGTATAAATTGATTGATAAAAGACCATAACGTAAAAGGATAATTTATAATATATTTTATTAAGTACCTTTTTTATAAAGAAGTTTAGAAATTAATATGCCATTTACCAAATTTGCTGACTATTTTAACACAACCTCTAAAAACTCCGAAGACATCGAAAGTAAGAATTCATTCAAGAATGAAACTTCTAACCAAAGTATAGATGGGGAAGACCTCGAAAGTACTGTAACAAACACAGGAAATGACGCGGATCATAATAAAAACCACCATCGCCATATTAGGGAAGAAAAATTCCATCAATCCTCGGATAACTTGATAGTGGGATTGTAATGGGTTGCGGAGGCATTGGTATATCTGCAAAAATGTATAGCACGTGACTTGTTTTAGTTCGATGGCATACGGAGTCGGAGTATTTTGTTGCTCCAACATATGCTGGAATGATAGTCGTATTCAAGATAACAGACGAATGGATACGGACAGAGAAGGATTCAATATATATATGGAACTATAGCTTTCGATATTTTAATATAAGCAGATATTAGATTACTACTTATTTGTAGGTATGTACAAGTTCTATAATGTAGTGAGTGCTTG